ATTAATTTGGTGCGTCCAAATAGCAACAGATCGCACGGATCCATTTATTGCTTCCATTATTGTCGGTAGATGGGCATTATTCGGTGGTGAGACACGATTGCTTCTCGGCCGAAAAAGAAACCGCACAAGACTCGACATTTCTTCTCCATTTAATTATTTGATAGAAAGACTTTCTATAGATCTTTTTTCTTTCTCTCTCTTTTTTTTTTCTTATCGGGTTTTTTCAGCTTTGATTTTGTTTTCGTATGCTGAGATAATTTTGAGAGCTTCCTGACAGCAGAATGGCCGTGGTCCTTGTACTAATGGTCTTTGCTAATGTCGTCAGACTCATTGTGATCTAACTTATTCCTTGCAAGACAAGGTCAAAAGTGACTCGTTCTAACTTATTCCTTGCAAGTCAAGGTCAAAAGTGATAGAAAATCATGATAAATATATATATATATATAATATTATTCCATCTATAATTTAAGGATGAATAACTGATTTGATTACGTGATTTAAATAATTGATCGAACAAAACAATTTTCTCTCAAAATCTGGAAATATACTTATCATCTCAATGAATAAAATTTATTATTTTTATAATATATATTCATTAATTTTACAAAAAAAATTGTACCAAGGGTGATACGTGATAAGATCTCTCTAATGCTACAATAAATTACGAGATGTGTTTGAGACCAATGATTTGATGATTGGATGTCATGTATCATGTTCCAATTAATTATCACTCTCGTAACATTCTCGCATGCACTCAAAATTGACATTTACCAACTTTGCAATAATATATTGCCACCAGAATATCTCAACACTTGCAAACACTGCAACTAGTGATGTGGATGTGGAGAACTGATCTGCACTATCTTTGTGGATCACATTCACATGCAAGATGGATTTCAGAGATATTAAATTATTCTCTCTCATGCGATCCCATCAAGCAAGAGAGAATAATAGTTGAATGACCTCCACCGCAGACTCTTTTCTGGGTTTGTAAGGCAGTCATCCCTCTTGTGTGGTTGGATTTGTGCAGCGCAAAGAATGATCGGTGGAAGCCTTTTTCTAGTCTCAAACCGCAAACCTTCCTGTTGGTTAAATCTCTGATCAACGAAAGCTTTTTGAGAAACCTGCCTTGCTGTATGTCGCATATGGTTCACAAGTCACCTGTAACACTCATTTCTCGTCAAACAAATCTGATAAACGGATTAGATGTTGAAAGAATTGTACAGTCCTTGAGACAAAAACAAAATAAATAGAGAGAGAGAGAGAGAGAGAGAGTCAGACAGGTCATATATATATATATATATATATATATAGTAAAAGTCATCTATTGTAATGGTGATATGGAATCATGGATTTTGTGACCCTTTATAATTAGATAATATATATAATATAATTAATTAGATTCTGATGACAATTTTTAGTAAATAAAAAAAAAAGTCATAGGAAATAGAATTCATATCTTATATTAAATATAAAATTCAAATTTTAAATCCTTAACCTTCAACATTAATTAATTTTGATGTTTAGAATATCATCTTTCACCACATGTTCTATACCAGCTTTAGTTACACTAGTCTCATCCAACAACACTAACTAGTATTTCCTATACCTCAATAAAGTATATTATAGTTCGAGTCAATCACTTGTATTGACTAAAATATGTCACCAAGGACTTCTTTTCTATTGGCCAAAATATGTGGATGATTGAGTTGACCAATATGTATTCAGCTGTATATCACTCCTCGAATAAAAGTATACAAAATAATATAATAACTTTGTCGAACTATTTATTATTCATCAAATTTGTCTATTATGAACCTCATAAGTTTTTTTCTATTCATGTTATCTCAATTACGTCAAGACATAATGAAATATCTTATTATCAATATGGACATGGTTCAGTTGGAAGTCATGAGATTGAATTTATGAATTTAAACGAGAAGATATGCTGCTATCTAATAGGCATTTGGCTAATCTCAATCTTTATGACAAATAATTAGAAAAAGACCAGAAAAAGGTTTGCTTCAATCATATTTTTTGCTTGTTTGCTAATGAAAAAAAAGGTATAAGAAGCATAGTCTGTATGACATTTACAACTTGCGTCATGAGAAGCATATGACAGACCAATTAGATGAAATAGGGAGAGATATATCATGGTATTATTGAGACATATGTGGCAGTAGAGATAAAAAGCAGGCTCTCCCACTTGTTTTGTTTTGTCTCAGGTTCCCAGCAACATCCAACGAGAATAGACACAAACTTAGGCTAGAATTGTTTTGACGCATTCAACGCTCGCCACTCTGCCTCATCTCATCCGAACGCCTACGTGCTGAGTGCTCGAGCGCCTATCATGGAATGGATTAAAAAAGAACTACAGAAAACACACAAAACATCAAAAGAGTCGGGGCTTCATACAACAACAAATCTGTGGGCTTTCTTAATTGCATCATAGACATGACACTGGATGGAGAGAAGTATCCGAGTGCAAGAAAACACAAGAAATCCAGTAAACCGGGCTAGAAAAAGGAAATATGGACAAGAAAAGAAAATATCAGTCATCAGCCACCAGGCATAACCTTGTTCGATCCAAATTGGTGACGACATTTTAATTCTTTTCATTAATTGGCAATTGGAACGGAATGTTCGATTTCAACACATTTGTAACTCAGGAATCAATCACCTACCCATCCATGGTTATCATCTATTACAAGAAAAGAAGGAAAAAAATTATCAAGAGGGAACCTTGTGAAAGGGTGACTGCCACCAACAGATATCCGTCAACCCATACACAAAAAGATCATCTCTGCCGTCCATGTCCATGTCCATGTCCATGATCCTGCCACCTTTTACCACCACCACCAGACCTGTAGCGATCCCAATTCTCAGTGGACCATTCAGGCATCTTATTTGACCTACTCTCCCTTCTGGATTCATCGTTATAACTCCACCCAGCTGGGAACTCAGTCGATCCCAGCGAACCGCCATCACCATGGAGGCTCCCATTCCTATCTCCTCGTAGGCTGCCGGGAAGCATGTGGGCCTGTGACACAGTCCCACTGGGGTATGTGCTATAGTTGTTTTGGATTGGAACATATTGTTGGTTGGGCACAGCAGCCTCTAGTATACCATTTGGTTGAGAAATAAGTTGATGGGCTGTCGTATCCTGCCTCACAACTTTAGTAGCACCTGATACGGGAGGCCATGTGGGAGGTATGGGGGAAACTTTTGACGGTTCAGCCTTTGGTAGAAGTTGTGGTCTTTGTAGATTGTGGGGCAAAGCAGGTAATGCAGGCAGACATGACATGGTAGTGCGGCTGTGACCAAGAGATTCCTGTAGAGGGATCGAGGAAATGAAGGTTGTCTTGGTGACTGGGTACTGTTTACTGGGTAAATCAGAGTTAAAAACTTTCGTCTGCTGCAACGGATATCTGATGGATGTTTTTTGGGGAGGTGGAGAAGGGGCTGGGGTCCTGGTTGGAAGCAAACTCATGGGTGGAAGATTTCGAGTTGTCGAATCATTCATCATCATCCCTTCTGGCACTGAGGATATTGTTGCTGGTGGCTGAGCAGGTGATACTAAACCAGGAGTCTGAGGCCCAGAAACCACTGGAAAAACTGTAGCAGGAGGGGGTTGCAAAACCACAGAAGTAAGAGCTGCCGCTGTTCTGTTGCCTGAAAAATGAGGCTGCAAAACTGGAGTCTTTGAAAAGGCTCGAAAATCTGACCTCCAATCACTCTGCAAACAAATAGGAACAAATGGTGAGCTTGACAACGTGCAAAATAGCATAAGACCAAATGAATTGCAGTTGCAACGGTAGTTAGCAGAAGTCTCACTCTTGCAGCTTCTGAAGGAGGGGTTGGAGATGGAAGAGATGTTGGTGGTTCCTGCTCCTGGGATCTTGTTTTATGAGAACTATTCTCCTTCGGGTGTGCCAACTCATTCAACATACCAGTCAATCCAACACCATTTCTTTTAAGCATATCCAGCAGCACCACCATCTCCTCACTAGTCAAGCTTTTTCCTTGGTTGGAAGTTAGAGCAAAGACGAGGTCTGGATTTTTTAGCAGCACAGCTAGCAACTCAAGGTCTGGCTCTGGAGGCCCATCACTGATTGGTGAAGCACAGGTGATGTCAGCAGCTGCCTTGGATGCAGGGGCTTCCTCAGCGTCTTTAATAGGAGCACATGAAGAGCCTTCTTCAGCATCAGCATCCGGTGGCTGCTCGGTTGGGATTTCTGGTGTCAAGGTGTCATCAAAATCCATTTCTCTGTCCCAAGGTTCCTTTGGATTGGGTGGGATGTCTTGGAGGCATGAGTAGAATGTTTCTTTCTCTCGCTGATTTCTCTGTGTTTGGACATCAAATTCCTTGCTGTCCTCCCCTGCACCCATACTCCATGTAGAACTTATCTGTGTCTCTGCGTAAGGAAATATGACGAAAGAAACTTTTAGAATGATTTGCGATAAGGCGTCCATTTCAAACCCTTCATGCAGACTATTATTCGTTATAGTTCTCCCCGTAACATTTGTCAAGATTTGATTCGAACCAAGGCAAAACTTTCAATGCAGTTCTCCTACAGTGGTATTTACATGTATCTTCTGCTCTGGAACATCTGGCAACAAGATCAGAGTTGACAGAGAATGAAAAATATAGGACTCTTGCAAAGATTTCAATGAAGAATATGCATGGCTGCTTTCTGGAATGTCTATTTTTATAAGTCAGCTGTCCAGAGTTTATGTCAAACTCGACAAGGAATAATTCATTATTTCAATCAGCACTCTCATAGATGCAGATACTTAACTAAAAATTTAATCAGTATATAGTATGTCAAACCCTCCTAATTTTGACTTGATTCTTGTTAGAAAATTTATGAGCTGAGGATATAAACACAAGCACTTGTAGATAATTTGTTGGTCCACTCAATCATTTGGTCCAACGATTGTTGGATATAAGCACAATCATTGTGACATCAATAGCGTTTTAATGGCACATTTATTTTCTCATGTACAATATCCTTTTAGGAACAAAAGATAAGCCAGTAGATGCAAAATATTATATAACTAATTCGTTCTTGATGATCACATGTTCAATATATCTACTTTTAGAACCCTTAAATAAATATTGTTTGCATCCCGACAAGGATAACCATAATAAACAATAAACTTTACTCAACTAAAGATACCTCCATCTTTCCAATTGCTTCCAAACCAAAATATATCTTGGCCTAAATATCAATGTTAACGACAATCCCCTACATTAACTCATGGTGTAAGTGTTGAATTCAGGAACCCAAATCTATGAGAGCAATATGCAGCATACCATAATGCCATAAAAGAATATTACAGATTCCAGTCAAGCAATTCAACCTCAAGCATGATAGAAAACAAACGGTACCATACGCAACACTGTTATGTTGGATATTCTAAAAAAATATTTATAATGATTCTCATTTCTTATGCTGATTCTAATGCAGGGATAATATCTTGAAATTCTAGCATAAGAGCAAAATCAGAGCATGTTTAGCTTTGTAATCTTTTGCCAAAACCAAGTAAATGCAAACAGGAATGTCAGAGTCCTAATGAACCATATAATAAATTGTGATTATTCAGACACAATGGGAAAGTTTGATTAAAAAAGCTTACTGGTTCACCCATGTCAATACTCATATTCAGAAAGAGAATAGAAAATACCTCGTGGAATCTTCCATTGAATTGGCTTGCAATTCAACATTCCCAAGCAGTCTTGCTTAGAAGTTGAATTTGAATTTGAATTGATAGCAGTTTCAGACTCACTGAGAAGATTATCTTTTGTGGAAACTATTCGGATGCTACTTCCCTCTTTAATCAGATGAGGATCTTGAGGTGCTTTACATTCAGACAATACATTGTTGATCTGAGATGCAGAAAGTGCCTTTGGATCTTCAATTTTCTCTAACTTACTTCCACTACTTGATGGATCAACTTTTCCATACTTATGTTGCATAAACATTGCACGCAACTTTGCTTTCTGTATATCATCAGCTGACATTGGACGGCTATGATTTGCTGACACTGCTCGTACAACCTGCGCACTTCTACCTGCAGCTCTATGATCAGGCTGTTCCACCAACAAAACCTTTCTGCGTTCTTTGGATTCTGTCAATTGCTAAGGAAATTATAATGTTCAAACAGTTAGCGACATGATATTGAAGGAGAGATGCAGGACTAGCAGCGGTTCGTACTATTAGTTAATTCACAACTAATTTACAGTCCAATTTATTAATTGTAAGGATGTAGCATGTCAAGGCTCTAATGATGTACATATTGTACTTGATTAGGATAGTGGCTCTTGCAAAAATATTGTACATTTACCAGAAATTGGATAAATCTCCAACACATTCTACTTCTACATTCAATGTCATATGCTTCTACAGAAGGTTAACAATTGGTAAAAAGCTAATAATTGCAAAAGGTTCCCACTGAAACACTTGACAACGATAAAATTCAATGAGTTCAACAGAAAAGGAGACAATGATGCAATAAGCATAATGATACTCTCATACCATATGATTCATGGAGCTGATATTATTCAAATAGTCATTTGACATTTACATGGCTAATCTAATTTCCGCTAGTCAAGATCAAACAGCTTATATTAACCTAAACTCATTAGGAATATTTTTGATGCACTGATACAGTAATATTGTTTCATAAGGTTGCATGAAAGAGAAGGTGATCTGAATAGGTCTAGATGAAGCAAAGAGAAAAAGCTAAACCACTGGTTATATAGTTGGCAAACTTTGAGATGACATCTTAATCTTCTTGCACCAAATACTAACATCTGCAAACAAAACAAAAGAAAATTTTATAGAGGATCTAGTGGAATAGAATTTCTGCGAACATAAATACTTAATTTCAAAGGTTCTTGATTCCTACCACAAAAGCTTGTTACATAAAAGCCATGACTAATCTTACAGTTATCATCCAAAATATTGGGACCACAATATAGTATAGAATCTTCTGAGAACGTAGAGGATCTAGTGGTATAGAATCTTCTGAGAACATAAATACTTAAATTCAAAGGTTCTTGATTCCTACCACAAAAGCTCGTTACATAAAAGCCATGACTAATCTTACAGTTATCAAAAAAATTGGGACCACAATATAGTACTACCTTTTCTGGAACAAAAATACTACAGGATCTGGAACAATTCATTTATGATCAAAGACCATCCAAGCTTACATTTTAGCAATGATTTTAGACTAAGACCCAACATGTTTAGAGGGTTAAATCTGAGTTGGTCATCTTATGATCAAATCAAGTAATACACGTCCGATATTATACCACCTGAAAAGTATATGGAATCTCCTCAGATCTAAATTTCAAACAAATTAATGTTCGGCTAAATAATAGCCAAATAACACAAGAACAACATGAAGCTCCTGATACAACTTATATAAGAGATGGACAAAATATGTCAAATTATCCCCAACACTCACTGAGGAATTACAGATACTATTTGGAAAAGATGAAAGTATGTGATATTCTTGAAGGAATCACATATGGAATGGATGGTGTGACAGCTTACTTTGAGCAGGCTAAGCATGGGTACCTGTTAAGGATCATTACAAACACCTTTTGGAAGTAATGCTAATGATATGCTGACTCTTGCAGAGAAAAGATGGAACAAAAGAAAAGAAAAGAAAAGAGTGGTGAACGTGAGGCATTGGAGGCACTGCCTCTCTATTAGCGGACAATTCCAAGATATTCCAACAAGCTTTAAGTTACACTATGTTAAGATATTGTGGCCTATAGTGTGAGGTGATATCTACAACTCTTTAGATGAAAAGCTGTGCAGCTCCCAAATGACAAGAAAAGTGGTGTTGCAGAAAAACAAATCATGACTAAATATTGCAGAATTTGATTTAAGGTGATCAGAAAATCACATGATTCACCAATGTTTCGACTTGAGGTAAGTGGCTTGTCACCCTAATTAGGTTTTTCTAAAGATGTTTTTAGTTATTTAATAAAGTAATAAATGTTATTTTAAATATCAAATATGGATGAATGTGTATTTTATGTCTTGATTGAATAAAATGATATTCTATAGTTATTTGCCTTGTTGTAAATGCTTGATAATATTCATTTCTAGATTGTGTGCACCATGATTTGCGAGCTATAAAAGATTTGCTTCATCTATTGTTGCTTTAATCAATTGACATGAAATATAAAATACGAAAATACTATATATATATACTTACAGGTTCTTAATAATTCACCTACAAAAGCTTATGCCTCATTGTAGATTCCAAGGATGCTAAAGCTTCGGATCGATGAAAGGATGATGTTTAAATCCACCAAGACAGAGGCAATGAGGTAATATGAGTGATACACATTAATAACCTTGTAGACTAAAGTAGAAAATTTAATCAAATGTGGTGGTAAATCTAAGATGGATGGCGTCTAAGTCTACCTTAAGTTCACCAAAAATATTGTCCAGGGGATGAGGTTGATTCCCTTGGGGTTCGTACATACCTAAATATAAGATGAAAGGAGAAATAAAAAGTAGATGCACCTAAATATGATGATGAACATAATGAATATGAGTGGTTTCTTATTTTTGTATATATTGATTTGACTATGTAAAATACATGTATTGTTTATATTGATGTCTTGTAAATATCCTTAAATATATTTAAAATCTTGTTTACCCACCTAAGGAGGCTTGTCCACTTAATGATTTTTTTCTCACGGTCTCACCCTCACCACCCCATCTCCACATGTAACTCATTGAAAGATACATGGATAATTATCATGATGTTCTGCATGTCCCTGAAAGGATTTTATGGTAAAGGTCCATTGAAGACTTTTAATATTAAAAAAATGATCTAAAAATATGAAATAATTAGATGATATTTTTATAATGTTCATTCTTGTATTATGTTAATATTCTAAATCTAGCATTTGTTATTAACAAAGTCAAAGACCATCATCTCATGGCAACCGGTGGTATCGGTCTTGGGACATACGTTACGTCTATACATACTCGATTTCAGAAAAAAGGCCTGAAAATGATAGAAAAATCATTTTTAAAAAAATAAATTTTAGGGTTTTTATCCAAATTTAATGGTACTTTTATTCGATTTCAATAAAAATAGAATGTAAATGAGTCAAATGAATGGAATTCTATGTTCTGAGGAGGAGATAGTGAATTTATCTTTTTTGAATCCTTGAGGAGCAACTTTGTTATATGGTCCTCTATTGCTTCCATTAATCTAGTCACATATAAGGATATGAGTTGATAATGTTAGATTATATGTGGAAACAAGTAATTAACGGAAGCAACTTATATATCTGTGATGAGGGAAGTGAGAAAGTGTAAGAGAGTGAGAAAGAGAGGGAAAAAGAGAGTGAGGGAGAGTCAAAGAGGGGGAGGGAGGGGCTTTTAAAAGGGGTGAACCAAGGTCCAACAGTCAATTTGATCAGACCCTGATTTTATTAGATTTGATCGATATAGGTCGGTAATGATTGAGTTACGACCGTAACGGGCGACATAGGGGCATATCAAGCTGTACACCCCCGCTTCTTGCATTTTGCCTGAAACCAGGTGATCCGCGATCGTCCAGTGGACCGGAACATACTGGTCGTTTCAGTTTCGGGCAATACGACAGTAGGATAGTCCTTGATTTTAGTTATACTAAGTAAAATAAGGATAGTATAATAAGACAAGTAAATATATGCAAGTGTCCACACAAATGATTATGGTTACACCATGGTTAGATGGTTTCAAAAGAAAGAAAATAGGGTCAGATCTGATCTAAACTAGCCCATGGCCATTTGGTAGATTGTCACATCCTCCAGATTTTGAGGCACGACAAATATCATACCAACTGATACTTACTGGTCCAATTGGTATCAAACATATGGTCAGGTCTTGGTCGATATTAAACTTACATGAAGGTATAATGCCCAAACAATACCACCCAGTACATTGGTACCATGCCAATCCCAAAGCTTGGCTTGAATAATTATATATAGGCCCAATTTTGACTTTGTCTCTGCACCTGAAGATGGCCAGGCTTGACGAGAGTTTGCTTTACATATTTCTTTGCATGTATATTAAATATAAATTTGAAATTTTAATTACAGCATAAATTCAATCAAGCTAATCTGATGTTTAATAATAGTTAATTAAGGAGTCAAGCTCATAATTGTCCAAGTCAACATGCATTCAGGGCTAATTGCTTATCAAGCTGTTCGAGTCACACACATGTAAAGGTCAGCTAGAAATAAAGCTCGTTTAGGACTGATCAGTTGAACAAACTATGCTTAAAGCATATTTAATTAGAGTCCAAGCTTAAAAAGAGGACTGATCAAGTATGAATAGATTACATCACTTTACAAATCACATGGTACCATTCTAGAATTCAAATCAACTTAAAAGATCATGCTTTTATCAAGTTAATAGCAAAACAGGCTGAACATTGCAGTAACCTATTATTTCCAACACTTTTAGTTATGCCAGATGACAGTTTGAAAATCAGAAGCTAATGGAAGCCTCATGTATGAGATTCATCGAGAAATAACTTCACAAAATTATTGTAGCAGTAGTTCTATATAATGGATAATCAAGTACTGGACAATAAAGTAGATTAGGAAAATGAGTATTTAGCTGATGGATACTGGTTGATGAGACACTCCGATCATGCTTCTTGCTTGAGTCAGCACCAGATGCTGGAAGCAGCTTCAGTGTTTGTTTAGGCTCTATTGTTCTGCATGGGAGAGAGACTGCAGTATTAATCATTTATCTGGAAGTTAGCTTCATCTATACCCTCAACCATTAACAAAAACAAAGCAACTCAAAAACACTAATTATCTGACTGTTCTGCAGCAAGAAAATACTTGGTTGTTTCAGCATCTTCTGTAAGTGCAAGAATATCTTCCTACCATTTAGAAAGAACAAAAAAAATCAAGTCTCCATATTTAAATAGAAAGATGATATGATGTGTTTTATAAAGAAATACTCACTGGAATGTCGAGTTTGGCCTGCAATAACTCATCATTAAGAAATCCACTCATCCTGCCACACAAGAAACATTGAAGTTAAAGATAGTGAAAGAAGGAAGAATGGAATAAAATATTTAAAAAGTGCATCCCAATGTACGAGACTCCCATGAATGCTGAGTTTTGGGAGGCTCGATATCCACAACCTCAACCCTGCAAGCAGAGAGGTTGTTTTTGTGACCTAAACCACAGTCACACAAGTTGTAAAGGAACACTAACTATGGAATGAAATACTACATAGCAAGGATTGAAATATCGTACCGTACCGGAGTTTTGACATTTGTTCGGTACGGTACGATACTGTATATTGAGCGGTATACCGCTCGGTATATATATATATATATATATATATATATATATATATATATATATATATATATATATATATATATATATATATATATATATATATATATAT